AATGCCAAGGCTTAAAGACAGAGAACATCTTAAAAACAAGAGAAAAGCAGCTAGGAAGTTCCCATAAGACTGTCAGCTGTTTCCTCAACAGAAATTTTTCAGGCTAGAAGGGATATTAGCATGAAATATTTAAAGTGATGCAAAGGAAGGACCAACAAGGAAGGCTATCACTTAGAATTGAAGGCAAGATAGAGCTTTTCAGACAAGAAAAAGTCAAAGGAATTCATTACCACCAAACCAATGTTAAAGGGACTTTAAGAAGGAGGAAAAAGATTAAAAAAAATATATAAATAACAAAATGGCAATAAGTACATATCTGTTGGTAATTATCTATACTAATAAAATGGTAATATGCTAATTAGACCAGGAGACCTTTCAAACAAAGCCATGGGGGCAGGGCCAAGGCAGAGGTGGTTAGGGGTGGTCAGGCCAGGAGGGAGGGCAGGAGGGGGTAATCAGGCCATCAGAGGGGCTGTTGGGCACAAGCAGGCTGGCAGTGGGGAGCAAGAAGGTCAACAAGGGGGTCAGTTGGAGGTGATCAGGCTGGCAGGGGGCTCAGGTGGGGGTGAGCAGGCCAGCAAGGGGGGGGGGGTCAGTTGGGGGCAATCAGGCTGGCAAAGGGGGACAGTTGGGGCCCAGCAGTCTGGCAGGCAGAGTGGTTAGGGGTGATCAGGCAGGAAGGCAAGTGAGAGGTTAGGAACCAGTGGTCCAGGATTGTGAGAGGGATGTCTGACAGACATTCACTGAGGGGTCCCAGGTCAGGCTGAAGGACACCATTTTCCCCCATGCACAAATTTTGTGCACCAGGCCACTAGTATTAAATATAAATGTATTAAATGCTTCAGTCGAAGGATAGGATAGCAGCTGAATGGCTAAGAAAATAAGATGTATACATATGCTATGTACAAGACCTGTACAGAATTAAAATAAAATATATTTAGGAAATTTTAAAAAGCTAAAGTAGCAATACTTCTATCAGACAAAATTGCCTTTAAAACAAAGTCTGTAATAAGAGACAAAGGAGGACCTAGAATTTCACTTCTGGGTATTTATCCAAAGAAACCCAACATGCTAATTAAAAAAGACATAACATGCCTATGTTCATTACAGTATTCTTTACTATTGTCATGATGTGGAAGCAGCCCAAGTATCCATAAATTGACAAATGGGTAAAGAGGAAGTTTTACATATATACGTATTACTCAGCCAAAGTATGAAATCTTGACATCTGCAGCAACATGATTACACATAGAGGATATTATGCTAAGTTAAATGAGTCAGACAGAGAACAACAGATGGCATGTGATTTCACTTAAATGTGGAATCTAAAACATAAACCAACTAACAAAAACACTCATAAGTACACAGAATACTTTGGGGGTTGCTAGATGGGAAGGGGTTTGAGGGATGAGTGTAAAAGGGAAAGAGATTAAGGTGGAAATTACCAGTTATAAAAACAGTAACTAGGATATAAGGTACAGAATAGCGAATCCTATACAATAAAAGCCTAATAGCTAAGTATCTGGTCATTCAGTCAGTCGTTCAACCAATCAAAGTGTAATATGCTAATGATATGCTAAGGCTGCTCAACTGCTCACTATCACATGCACTGACCACCAGGGGGCAGACGCTCCTACCAGTAGGTTAGCTTGCTGCTGGGGATCTAGCCAATCAGGACTGAGCAAGATGGCCGGATACCACCTGGTGTCTTCCTGTGGTCCCTCCCCAGATGGCCAACCTCACTTATCCCTCCCCAGCCCCAGTTGTGTACCAGTGAGATCACTGGGCCTGGCCTGCACCTTCTTGCAATCTGGGATCCCTTGAGGAATGTTGGAGAGCTGGTTACAGCCTGAGGGCAGAATGACAGTACTATGATGTGCACTCACCAGTAGGGGTGCTCTGCTCTGCCTGAAACATATTTTTCTTGAAAATGTTTTCAAGAAAATAATTTATGACTTTTTTTAAAAATATATTTTATTGATTTTTTACAGAGAGGAAGGGATGGAGATAGAGAGCTAGAAACGTCGATGAGAGAGAAACATCAACCAGCTGCCTCTTGCACACCCCCTACTGGGGATGTGCCCGCAACCAATGTACATGCCCTCTACCGGAATCAAACCTGGGACCTTTCAGTCCGCAGACCGACGCTCTACCACTGAGCCAAACCGGCTTCGGCAATTTATGACTTTTTTTCTCTAAAATAGTGAATTTTATATTGTGTGAAATATATCAAAGGCTGTAAAGAAGAATACTTGGTCTTTGTTTTATTTAATTTAAATAAATTTATTTAATTTAAATATTTTATTTAAATGCATAGTGATACACATTTTATAGTTTGATAAATATTGCAAAGTTATCCTACATTGAGGTGGTATAATCTATAATCTCAGAAGCTATGTATGTGTGCTGTTTTCCTCACATTCTTGCCATTGTGGTTTGTCATTAAATGTTTTCATCTTTGTCAGTACTACTGCTGAGAAATGATAACCTAATGTAGATTATTATATTTCTCTAATTAGACCAAGATAGAGTATCTTTTCATATACTGAAAAGCCACTTATATTTCCTTTCCCATAATCTTTCCATTCTTACCTATTGTGTATTTGTTTGTTTTTTTATTAGTGTTGAGGTTTTTTTTCTTATTGATTTGTAGAACAGTTTTATATGTTATCTTTTTTCCCACATTGTTTTTCTTTCGATATAATGGTGTGTTTTTACTATGAGTACCATCTTTACTGTCTAATAGTGCTCATTATAGCATTGCTCCATCTTGTTTTATTTTTATTTATTTATTTAAATATATTTTATTGATTTTGTACAGAGAGGAAGGGAGAGAGATAGAGAGTTAGAAACATCGATGAGAGAGAGTCATCGATCAGCTGCCTCTTGCACACCCCCTATTGGGGATATTCCCGCAACCAAGGTACATGCCCTTGACTGGAATCGAACCTGGGTCCCTTCAGTCCCCAAGCCAACGCTCTATCCATTGAGCCAAACCGGTTTTGGCTCCATCTTGTTTTAAGTCAAAATCCTAAGTCCTATCTCAGTGACATATCATTGATGAGTTCTCTTCAGTTTTCTGGTGCTTATCATTGTACTCCTTCTATGCTTTGTCAGCTTGACACATCTATCTGTAAATGTATTTGTATATCTGGTATAAGAATATTTTGAGGGGAACACAATGGGGAAGGGTTTAGATACAATCATTGATCCCAAATTTTGATTGTAGACTAGTATTAAAATGAAAATAATTTATGACTTTTTTCTCTAAAATGTGAAGAAAAAAAAACCAGTACATTAATACATAGATGTGTGCCTTGGTCAGTGTGGCTTGGTTGGTTGATTGCATAGATGTGTGTAATCCCTGATCATTGTACATGTGGTCTCTCTCCCTCCCTTCCTCTCTATAAAACTTATTAAAAATGTATTCTCGGTGAGGATTTTTTTTTAAAATTGTAATGAGAGAATGTAGTATTCCTTGCCTATTTTTGGAAAATAACTAAGTAAATAGGAGCTTTGTGACATACTTTTGATAGGGTGGTCAGTGAAGACCTTTCTGAGGGGTTTGCATTAGGCGGAGAAACAGGTGTTGAAAGAAGTCAGCCATGGAGAAGCTGGACATTCTGTGCATTAAGGAAATGTGGAATGGCATCTTTGAGTAGCAGAAAGGAGGCATTATAGCTGGAGCTTAGTAAATTGGGGTAGAAGAGGTAAAGAGACAGTGCTAAGGGCTTTGGACCTTGCATTGAGAAATGATCAAGACTATTAAGCAAAGGAGTAACATTATGCTTGCAAAGACTATTTATGCTTCTAGGTGGAGGAGGAGGGTGGTAGGAAAAGAAACAGGGACAGTAATTAAGAGACCGTGGCCAGAGCCATACCAGAAATTAGGATGGTGGTAAACTAGATGGACAAGAATTCTTAAATTCTAGGTATGGTTTAAAAGTAGAGTCAGCCCAGCATGGCTCAGTGCTTGAGCATTGATCTATGAACCAGGAGGTCATGTCAGAGTACCAGCCTAGGTTTCGGGCTCAATACCCTAGGAGGGATGCAGGAGGCAGCTGATTAATGATTCTCTCTCATCATTGATATTTCTATCTTTCATCATTGATATTTCTATCCCTCTCCTTTCTCTCTGAAATCAATAATTTTTATTTTTTTAAACCAATAAAGGTAGAATCAGCTGGATTTGATCTGTTGGGGGTTAGGGATAATGGAAAGAAAAAAAATACAGATTTTCACAGCGAGTTGTTACTAAAATCTAAGTACTCTTCATGGAATCAAGTATGGGATGTAAGGATTATAAATAATGATACATAAACTTATATTTGTGTGTTGCTTTGAAAATACTGCCACATTATAACCTCATTTGGGGTTTTTTAAATTTTTTTAAATTGAAACTTGTTGGCAGTTCAGGTATTTTCTGAGTTCAGTTCATTTTTTTAAAATAGGTCTTAACTGGCATTCAGAAGTATTGAGACTACTTAAAATTCTCACACACAAAAAGCAGTCCTTCCAAAAACTAAACATTATCCTTTTCAAAATTAGTGTGTGTGGGTTTTTTTGTTTGTTTGTTTGTTTGTTTTTTGGGGGGGGATGGTGTAATTTATTTTTTAAGGAATGGGGTAAAAGTTACAAAATTTTTCATAATTTTTTAAATGTTCCAGACTATTACATAATACAGTTAAATGAACAGAATTCATATTAGTTGCAGTGATTATTAAACATTTTTACTTTTGGAATAGAAGTTATTGCACATGGTATAATTTGATGTAAAGTTAAAATAAAAATCTTAAAGCTACCAACTATGTATATATTCAGTACTTTCTAGCATAATTTTGTTATATATGCTATGATAACCTGTAAATTAATGACTTTTCCCTTGCGAGGCCTTTTCAGAAATTCAGTTTTTAGCATTAATCTTTAAGTAGAACAGATTTACATGAATCATTGTATTAATTCCTCAAGGAAAAGTGAAATCAATCTTATTTCTTTTTCAGAGGTGGCTGGATCCAAACAAACCAATAAGAAAGCAGCTAAAGAGTGAGCATACATGTTTACTTCATATTTTTAAGTGTACTTTATAAAGATGCAGGATTAAAATAATCTGATTAATTAGAACTGCTTTTATTAATTCTAGGAGGATCTCCTTACAATTTGAATTTCAGAGTCAAATTTTTTGTAAGTGACCCCAACAAGTTACAAGAAGAATATACAAGGTGAGTTTATGAAGCATATTTTTCTTGAAAATATTTTCAAAACTATTATGAAATTTTGAAATTAATTAGGCAAAAACAGATTGCCATGCCATAATTCTGAGTTTACTGGCAGCACACAGAATAGGTCATAGATGTTTTAAGAAAACAGTTTACTTCCTTGCTTGATGACAAGGAATGCTTTAGGAGACTGGAACCCCAGGGCTACCCCATCCAGCCACAAGCAGCCTCCTGAGCTACATAATAATATGATTTTCCAGTGAAAACTGGTCAAGCAGTTCTGCTGTTACTAATTGAAGTAATCAGATGTTGCTTCAATTTTAGTGGTGCTATATATTGAGAATTGTGCCTGTTTTTTCCCCCTTATAAAAATACTTAAACCTTGAAAAACATGGAGGTTCGGCACATCGACCACCTTTTCAGTAAAAATCTCTGTATAATTCAAGTTGTCCTCCATATTAGCTGATTCTCAACTGCAGATTGAAAAATACAAGAATGACCCATATGGGTATTTTGATAGTATATGAAGGTTAAGTAACTGTTTAAGGTATAAATAGTGGGGAATAATCACAGTGTGGTAACTGTCATTATTAAAATAACTTGAAGAACCCTGGTCAGTGTGGCTTGGTTGGGCTTGGTCCTATGTATTGAAAGGTCACCAGTTCCATTTCTGGTCAGCGCACATGCTTGGGCTGCAGACTTCATTCTTGGTAGAGGGTGTGGAGGAGGCAGCCGATCAATGTTCCATTCTCACATTGATGTTTCTGTCTTTCCCTTCCTCCCTCTCTCTAAAAAATCAATTTAAAAAATCTTTAACCTGAAGGATAACCATGTGTGTTGCTTGAATGATGATTAGTAATTCATTAGCAAAACAAGACAATAAATATTAGCCTATTATACCTTCCATAAAAGTTTCAGATGTAAGAATATAGGTCAGTGACTATGTTACAATTTTTCTAAAAGACAGGTGACAAATTTAAAATCTGTACCTAAGCTACCTGTAGATGTTAATGTATTGGTTATCCTTTAGAATACAGAGGTGAAGTAGAAAAACAAAAGAATAAATTAAACACATTTCCCTGCCAATCCTCAGGTGTTGCTGCAGTAGGGCTTTCAGTAGATAAAGTGAGAAAAGTTAGATTCAGATCTATTAGAGTTCTTATCTGTGTGTTTGTTATAGGGGGAGTGGGGACAGTGGGTTACCTTTTTTATAACAGGAGAACTCAAGAATATATGCTCTGGATTAGGTAGTTCAAACTAATAGTATCCAAGCTAATTTCTCTTAAAAAGCAAAATTGTGTTATATGAATACCCTTTAGTTTAATACTATTTGCTGTTAGGTTTTGTTGTTGTTAATTAAAATAACAAGATGTTTTGTATAGTAAAACCTGTTCTTGGATGAACTTAAAGGAAGCTACACTGAATTAAAGAAAATTGTGATTTATAAAGTATTTTTAAATGCATTTTATTGTTTCCTGGTGCATATAACTTGAAATCAAGTAGCAAAGTATTCTATAATACAGGGTGTCCCCAAGTAATGTATACACACTTTAACAACTGATAGCTCAATTGGTATTTCTTTCTATGGAAGCTAGTTCCTCCTTGATCCTTCTCGAGGAGCATAGGTCCTCAGTCACAAGGTATTAAACGGAGAAGACAAGACACATGGTAGGCATATAGGAGAGACTTTATTGCAGACCCAAGTAGCCATTGCTAACAAGGAGCCATCAGACAAAACAGTTCTTCGAAGTAGCCCAACAAAGCAGCCATGCACTGGCTGGTCAGTAACACATCTTTATACTAAACTCGGACAAAAGAGGTTTCTTGCCAAATAGTGACATCAATATTTGGGTTTTAGAAAAGTATGCCTGTGCAGTGTGTACACTAAAACTGCTGTGTCATTGCCTTTGCACGTGCATATGGCCAATTGGCCTTTAACATCTGGCGTATTCTAATTAGGGTTCCCATGCTTTCTCTTCAGATTTAACCCATTGAAATGAATAATTATTCAAAGTATGCATTTTTTCAGAACATCCTGTATGTTTTAGTAATCAGATTTTTAAATGTATTATATTTGTAATTAAAAGATCAATAAGTTTAAATTGGATTTCTAATATATTTGACGTTTATGGAATTCATTAGCATAAGCAATTAAAATATTATAAATTACAGCTATATTCATAATTTACTAAAAAAAACTGTCGTTGACTTTCTTAACAAAATTTTAATGTGTTGATTTTTTTATAACTTGTGTTGAAGACAAAGAATAAATGTGTCTCACTGATAATTAAGTCAAAACATATTCCTGAAGTAGAAGAAAATAAAATCAAATTTTACAGTAATTGAGGAAGTATTTACTCAGTCCATCAGTCTAGAAAATTATCTTTGTTTAACTTAGAAATAATACATTATTTTAAAAATCTTTTATAATGGATTTATAACTGGCACTATTTGGTAAAATGGGCTAAGTGGCTAGTTTTTATTTTATTATCATAGTGTACATTGCACATCAATGAATCTCTATCCTAATTACAAATTAGAATCACTTAGGGTAGCTCTTGCTTTGGCCACACCTCCTGCGTACTCTGACTTAATAGGTCTCAGACGGGACTTATGCATAAGCATTACAAGCTTCCCAGGTGACTCAATTATGCTACCAGGTTTAAGAAATACTCCTTTAAAACTTTACTGCTTAGATAGCTTTAATGTGATGGTCCAGATTAGTAATAAGACACCCTTGACCACAGTTGCTAATTGTAAGGACTAGTATAAGCCCCACAAAACAGGAAATCAGCTATATCTCCTTACTTTGGGATTCCATTTTATATAGGTTATTGGTAAAAAAAAAAAAAAAAAAAAGAATGGGCTTATAGAGTTTCCAAATGAAATATCATTTACTATTGCTGGCATAATTGGAATTGGAGTTTTCTCAGGAGTCAAGGGAATACAAATGACATCACTTTTCATACCTTTTTAGAGCATGATAAGTGTTTAACTCATGGTATTCATTATTGTCTGGATTAGAAAAGTTAACGTTATTTTTACAGCTTGTAAAGGTGATTATACTTACCTCAATTGTTATTAATCTATTTTAAAGGCCTTGATTGTCTTTCAAAATTAGGCTTGTATTTTCTGTTTAGGGCTCCTGAGATACATATACTAGGCTATGATTCTACTTTCTTTTTACAAATAGAGAAACAAGACCTAGCCATATTTTAAGTAACATGCCAAAGGTTATAGGCTAGCTTACTTTAGGACTTACAGCTTAGATTTAGCTTATTCTGGTTTCCATTCTGTCAGTCTTTAATGATTAATATGTAAATAAAAGTCAGCAAGCACATACGTATTATTTGTGTAGTATTCATAATATTATGCCAAGGATATACGTGACCTTTCAGTCCTAAGATTATTTCCACCAGGAACCTTTAACTTTTTTTTTTTATCCTCATCTGAGGATATGTTCCCATTGAATTTTTAGAGAATGTGGAAGAGAGGGAAGGAAAAAAGGGAGAGGAAAGAAAGCATTGATCGGTTGCCTCCTGCTCTTTCCCCAATTAGGGGATTGAACCTGCAACTGAGGTATTGCCCTTGACCAAAGATTGAACTCAGGGCTGACATTCTAACCCCTGAGCAACCAGCCAGGACCAAGGACTTTTAACTTTTAATTATGAAACTAAGTTGCTGATTAGAAATATGTTGTCTTAGATTGAATAAGCAATACTATTTATAATATTATGTATTAAGCCTCAGAGAATTAATATAAACATTTACAGCCTCAAATTTTGGTCTTCTACCAACATTATACTGCACAGGTGGTTTTGCCCAAACATTGATACATCTGTCAGGGAATGACTTCACCCACTAGCAAGGACAGGACATCTTGTAAGCAACCCTAGTATTCTTGTTATAGGATACTTACACTTTTTTTTGTGTGTGTGTGTGTTTGTTTGTTTTTTTTAAGGAAATTTGGTACTTGGCAATTCTAATATTAGATCAATTGTAGGTAAAGGAACTTTTGTGGGTTTTTTGTTTTTGTTTTTTAACCAAAGAAAGCATTCTTAACTCATATGAAGAGGGAAAGATGCTTTTCTGCAACCAGTAGCTTCTTGCTGCCATAAGACAAATCAGCACACAGGCCTGTTCTTGCAGTTGGCTTCCCATCTCAGCAGAAAGAATGATTTTCTTCTACTGGTCACTAGTGCATTGTTACTGTCAGCTCTCCTATGTCTGCTGTGCTTCCCAGTATACTTTCTGTATACACCAATCATTATATTATAGTATTTCTCTCTAATATTCTCCCTAGGGCATGTAATGCTTAGCAAGCATTAGGGGTTTTATAACTGATCTAGTGGAAACAAGACTGTTGCAGTACAAAATTTCATTTATCAAAGAATTTTAAAACTTGGATTCATGAATTTATGAAATCTTATTTTTAAAAATATCTTGTGTTAATATATTTATTATAGAAGTAAATACTTAAATTTTTATTTGTTAATATAAATATGTAGTTTTTAATATCAAAATGCTATAATTCCAGTAAATGCTAACTATCTTTTTTTTTTATTTTTATTTTTAAGGTACCAGTATTTTTTGCAGATTAAACAAGACATTCTTACTGGAAGGTGGGCTATTATATATTTTTAGTAATAGATTTAAGAATACTCTTAGTTCTATAGTAATTCATGAGCTTTGCAAACTATTGAAAAATGATTACATATAATATGAATTCCTTTCATCAAATTAGTTCATTACTTAGTAGTTGAAATATAAATCACATGGAAATTTCAAGTGTGACTAGTATATTATAAATTATAGTGCTTTTGAAATCATTGTGTTTAACTTTGGGCTATGTATTTTCTGTTTTGTTTTATTAGATTGCCCTGTCCTTATAATACTGCTGCCCTTTTGGCTTCATTTGCTGTTCAGTGTAAGTATCAGCCCAGGTTTTTAGTTCTTATTGATTTTTCCACATGGAGGAAGTGGGGAGAGAGAGATACATTGACCAGTTGCCTCCCATTCACACCACAATTGGGGATGGAACCCACAACCCAAGCATGTGCCCATATTGAGAACCAAACCCTATGACCTTCAGGTGCTCTGGACAAAGCTCTGACTAATGTAGCCACACCAGGTAGGCCCAGCAACTTTTGAGACAAATAGCATATAATTACACTAGAGGCACAGTGCATGAATTTGTGCACTGGTGATGTCCAAACAGCCCACCCTGATGGGATCCAATCAGGGTGGGGCCGGCCTGGGCGAGGGGCCACAATTGTTCTAATCATTCTGCCATTCAGTCCCTGGGCTTTTATTATATAGGATTAGTCAGCTAAGACAGCCATAACAAAATATCATAAATTTGTGTGGCTGAAACAACAGAAATTTATTTTCCTCACAATTCTGAAGGCTGTAATTTGGGGTTAGGGTACCAGCATAGCATCATCCCATACACCAGAAAGTGGTGGATCGATTGCCAGTCAAGGCACATGCCCAGATTGCAGATTCAATACCTGGTCCAGTGAGTGCAGGAAACAATGGGACAATGTTTCTCTCTCCATTCTTCTCTCTGAGATCAATTAAAATGAATGATAAATAATGTTCTATAAATATGGTTTTAACAGGAAAGACATTAGTGATCTATGAAGTGAAATATTCGTTATATATATACAGCATGACCCCATTTTTCAAAAAAAATATTTATTGATTTCAGAGGAAGGGAGAGGGTGAGATAGAAACATCCTACCTAATAGTAATATGCAAATCAACCATCACTCTGCTATACCCACCAGCCAATCAGAGCAAGATGCAAATTAACCCATCAAATAGGTGGTTAATTTGTATTAGCAGAGGGAGGGAGGAGTGAAGACTGAAGACAGCATAGAAGGAAGAGGGAGGGAAAATGGAAAGCAAAGTGGCTGCGGTGTGCTGTGGGTCGGGTGTGCAGGGCAAGGCCCGCAGTTGTGGCAGTGTGTGCAGCTGCAGAGACAGTGGTGGTGGTGGCCTCGGGCAAAGTGGGATGGGCTGGGCACGCCTCACCAGCCCCACCCCACCCAGTCCTGCCTATTGTAGCAGGAGAAGTGAGGGGGCTGGAGAGGTGGCGATGGCAGGAGGGAAGCCCACCGGAAGTCTTGCAGGAATATTCCTGCAACAGGTCACTAGTCAATGATAAGAATCATTGACCCGCTGTCTCCTGCAGGCCCCCTGCTGAGGAACTAGTCCAAAACCTGAGTGGGAATCATATTGTGACTTTCTGGTTTATAGATTGATGCTAAACCACTGAGCCCCACCACCTGGACCCCATTTTTATCAATACCAGGCACATGAGGTACAGTGGCAAGATCTCACTCCTAGATGAAAGTTTAAAGTTACCCAAACTCCTTTGCAGCTAGGTTTCTGGATATGAATTTGTTTCTGATGATTGAACGCACTTGCGCAATATTTTGAAGGCAGAAATGAGGCAGAGGCATCTTCCCTCAGTTTGGGCTATTTGCTGCTGGTGTCATGTTTGCAAAGATGTGGAGGTTTTCTGCAGCGGAATCCAGGCTGTGCACAGGCAGTTGTGGCAAGGCAGTGCCCAGTGACCTGTTTTTAGGAACTGGGGGGCACTTGCGGGGGCAGCAGTTTCCTGATCCCTAGGTCACAGCTGCACCAGAGTGTTCTAGCATTCAGCTGTGGCTGAGGGGCAGCTCTGGGCAGGGAGTCTTTCATGGAGGCCCAGCCTAATACCTACTCTGATGATTTCCCAAGCACCAATTCCCTGTGCTAAATTCTTTTCTGCCTAAAATAGCAAAGATCTACAAACATTTTGGATCCTCTACTTTCAACAACAAAAAATGCTGCACTGGGTCAGGTATGAGAAGTGGGTGAGGTGTTGCAGAAGACTCTCTTTGAGTCTCAGCTTCCTCTTCTGTAGAATGGAGACCAAAAGTTACCTGTTCTTAGTTACTGAAGACTGTGGCAGCTGAGTTTCCCAAAGGTGGCCAAAACATTTCCCAACCCTCCTGTGGCCTTGCCACTTTCCGCCACGTCCTCTCTTTTGAAGCAGCGCTAACCTGTGATGCGCTGGTAGCCAGTATACTGGTTATCTGGTTCCCTGAGAATTCCAAGGCCAAGACTGAAAAGGCGCGGAGCTATAGCCCTGCCCACTCCACCAGGGTTTCTAGCTCTGCCCCACCCACACCTCTTGGGGTTCTGGCTGGTGTAGGGCCTTGCCCTCCTGGCTTGCTTCCCCTCTGGTCAGTGGCCCAGCTGGTGTGCTGCTTTGCCCAGCAGGTGGGTTAAGAGCCCAGGTTGGGCCTCACGCCTCCTGGCTCCTGTGTGCCACCTGAGCCCTGCAGCCCCTATTCCTGTCTCTGCTCAGACCGGGGCCAGATGCCCGATGCTGTGTGTAGCCTGCAGGGACTTCTGTGGCCACCAGGAAAGCTTCTCCAATCAATCCCTGACTCTGGTGCTCTGATCCCGGGTCCACTTCCACCAAAGAAGAGCTTTTGCCTGGGCAGCTACCCAAGAGCGAGTACCTCCAAGGTCCCCAGACCCCAAATTTCAGCCAGCCAAGGAGTTTAGCTGGCTAGCCCCACCCTGATGGAGGTGCTGGGGGTGATATGACCCGGAGCAGGCTGGTAGGTTGCCAAGAGCATATCACAGACACCGGTCATTCTGCTTCTCCTGATCATTCCACTGTAATAGTCGCTAGGTTTTTATATATACAGGCAGTCCTCTTGTTACGTCAGACTCGACATACGTCATTTCGTAGTTATGTCACCATTTCCCATTATAAACAACAACAAAAAGTTTTGCTATTTCGACGAATGTACTTATGTGCTTTATGTTTTTTATTATTTATTTACTACAAGTAAAGGTTAAGAACTGTCATCTTTTCATTTTTTTTTTTTTTTTTTTACTATTTCACTTCATTACTGCTGTGTATGTGCTCCATGTGAGTGACATAGGTACTTATGTAGGTGGGTTCTGACTTAACTCGAAAATCACGTTACGTCACACCATAGGAACAGATCTACGTAACCCGAGGACCTACTGTATAAATTGTCTATATTGATACTTCATTGCCTTTAATGTGTAAGTTCTTTAGACATAAGTTGCTGCACAGGAGAAAGTGACTGCAAAGGAAATGTAATGAAACATCCACTTAGTTAGCAATTACTTCAGTTCCAGAAAAAAATTCTGAAGTTGTTTGAAATCTTGAAGACTGTTATATGCATTGTTATAACTTGTTTAAATGGTAACAGTAGAAATAGAAATATTTTACTTCCAGAAATATAATGGAATTCATGACTTTGATGATTTGACTATGAACAATAAAAATGTGTTTATTAAAGTAAATATTTTTCTTTAATTTATTAGCTGAACTTGGAGACTACAATCAGTCAGAAAACTTGCCAGGCTACCTCTCAGATTATTCTTTCATTCCTAATCAACCTCAAGATTTTGAAAAAGATATTGCAAAATTACATCAGCAACATACGTAAGGATTTATTTACTTTTCTACTTATTTGGCAAACTTTTGGGGGGAGTTAATCTTCACCTAAGGATATTTTTAGAAAGAATAGAAGGAAGAAGGAGACAGAGAGAAACATCCGAGAGAGAGAGAGAGAGAGAGAGAGAGAGAGAGAGAGAGAGAGAGAGAGAGACACACACGTTGATTGCTTGTGTCCCACATATAAGCCCTGACTGGGCCAGGGTTCGAGCCTTTGACTGGATTTGAATTCAAAACACAGTGCTCTAACCACTGAGCAATCAGCTAAAGCAGTAAATTTCTTAATGGCATCTTTTCTAGAGAAATGTTTTAAAATTTTTAAATGCAAATTAATAATTTGTGTTACTGAAAATGTACCCTCCAGTTAAGTTAGATGCTACTGTACATAACTAAAAGGAGTAGTCATGCATGGTGTTTTGTAAAAGATTTAATTAGGATGTTGAAAAATGTCCAGATAAATAGCCTTTTTAATTTGGCCATATTTGTGATTGATTTAATTTTTAACCTAATGATGTCTTTTCAGAGGCTTATCTCCTGCAGAAGCAGAATTTAATTACCTGAATACAGCACGTACCTTAGAACTCTATGGAGTTGAATTCCACTATGCAAGGGTAAGTGAAGAAAACTTACTTTGATATTGATGAATTAGGCTCTGTCAACATAGTAATGCCCTAACAGCATTAGGTAACAAATGTAGTAACTAGTAAGTTTTGCCACTATAGTTACACTGAAAATTGTAAGTGTAAGTATTTTCACACTCACTTAAGATTCAACACCTGATGAAAATGGTTGAAGTAGATTTTTCATGTTATTTTTCTTCAAGGAAGTGGTTTTTGTAATCATGATAACTTTTGCAGAGCATAGGAGACAATACCTTTAGAATTTTTATTTTAAAAATAAAGATTAAGTATAGGAAAAGTAGTTTCTTTTATATATTTAACTTTCATGATAAGCATTATCATAATAAAAGATGCTTTCACCACACTTACTTTACTTTCATCATTTAGTGACATTAAATATTTTTATTTTTAAAGCACAAATGAAGCATATTAATATATTTTGGCTAGTGTTGCTCAGTTGGTTGCGTAGTTGCCAGTTCAATTCCCAGTCAGGGCACATGCCTGGATTGTAGGCTCCATCCCCAGTAGGGGGCATGCAGCAGGCAGCTAATGGATGTTTCTCTCTCCCTCTCTGTCACTCTAAAAAAAATACCAATTAAAACATCTTTTTTTAAAAAAGTGGAATTATGATAACTAGCTTTTCCACAGCACTCTGTTTTTTAATTGAGTCAAACGTGGCTGCTTCCAAAAGACTGTATCTTCTGCCATAAGGATATTTGTGAGTGGCTATTCTTAATACACCTGGATTCCTTCACATATTATCAAGAGGTTATATTCCTTTAGAAGTAATTGGAGTATACCTATTATCTGTAACCAGTGAAAAGTGGAAATATATGGTAATCATCTGTTAATTTGGTGATAAGGTTTTACATTCTCTTGGGACAAATTGCTGAGTCTGATAAGAATAGCAGCCTGAAAGGGAGATGAGTTTTGTTTAGTTATTTTGAATATATTTTAATTTATAGACGTACACAGACAAACAATAGTTTGAGAACTCGAAGTTCTACTTCATGTAATGGTTTTATTGTTTAGAGCTTCACCTGGTTATGTTCTGAGAAGAGCACTAAGTCTTATATTTCACAAAGTTTATGTCAGTCTCTCCTTTAAAAAAAACAATGACCCCAGCAAGCTTGGCTCAGTGGTTGAGGGTTGACCTATGAACCAAGAGGTTACAGTTCGATTTCTGGTCAAGGCACATGCCTGGGTTTCGGGCTTGACCTTCATTGGGGGCCATACAAGAGGCAACTGGTCAATGATTCTCATCATTGATGTTTTCTTCCCTCCCTCCCTCCCCTCCTCCCTCTCTCCTTCCCTCCCTTCACCCATCCTTCCCTCTCTCCCTCTCTCTCTCCTCCCTCTCCCCTTATTACTCCCTGTAATCAATTTTTAAAAATATTTTTTAAAAAACAGAATTATTTGCTTTTCTAACATAACTATATATGATCATCCTTAATGTTTGTGACTTGGAAATCTGTTTGTGTGACACCATTTAAAATGTGTAAGTCTGTCATAGACAGCAAGAGCCCTACTCAGCTCTGGTGCTCTTGAGTTGCTCTGAGTCTATATATTATTCTAAATTCTTCCAACTAGGCTAGGGCAGTGCCCACTGTATGAACTGTTGGGAACTTAGTCCAAGTTCCTCCTTTATCTTCCATTCACTAGATGCAGTTGTGGGGTCTGAGCACCTCTGCCTAGGGCTGGACCTCCTTGGACACCAAATCTTAGAGAAGTCATGAGAGGTTGTAGGTGTATAAGAATGAGTCTTTATTGCAAAAGCCAGTGGCCACAAACCACTAGAGACAAGACAGTCCTTCATAACAGTATCTCAATCAGGCAGCCGTACATGGGCTGGTAAATACATCTTTCCCACATCATTGCACCTCTAATAGTCTCTGTACCCACAGTCATCTGAGCAGTTGCACACTGACTCATTGCCTCATATCATCGTGGTACCTAAGCTCTGCCTCAGCAGCTTCTCCTGTCTTCCCTGCCCAGCCACTGGACTCTGTAGCCTCACATAGTAACTACCTCCGAGCTTCTCTCCCATCTCCTTCTCTCCAGCACACTTCTTCACACTTCAGCAGCCTAGCTAGTCAGTAACCTGCATATTACTCCAGAGACAAAGATGGCTAGTTGCCAACAGTGATATCAATCCTTTGGGTTACAGAAGGGCACAGCATACTGGGAGATCACTGTGGCCTTGCACTGCTTATTCCTTGGGCGTTCTGATTAGGATTCTCATGTTCAGAGCGGCCTTGGCATATTGATAACAAGGCCTTTCACATTTTGAGTGCTTTGGCAGTCTGAGGACTCTGGTGTGGTTCCCACAGTCTATCTTGAACTTTTTTCTTTAAAATGTGCTCCTGCACCCTCACTCCCTATTTGGAGCTTATTGCCTTTGAACATGATTCTCTAAAATGTAACATAGTGCTCAGAATTTGTGCAACTAAATTTTGTTTTTCATTTTAATAAAGTTTAAAACCAGAGAGAATTTAATATGTGAACTAAACTATGGTTAACAAGAAAAAGACCACTACATTCAGTCATTTTAATCATAAGCTTTTTCTCTCTTTTTTTTTAGTTTATTGATTTTTAGAGATAGAGGGAGGGAGGGAGAGAAACATGAGTGTGAGAGTACAACATGGATCGGCTACCTCCTGCACACCCCCTACTGCAACCTGCAACTCGGGCATGTGCCCTTGACCGGGAATGGAACCGGCAACTTCTTGGTGCACAGGACACCAAAACTGCTGAACCACACAGGGCTTATCTGTTTTGTAAAGGTAGTTGTGACTGCTATCTGTTATCTCTGACTGCTATCAATTAAATACAAAGAGTGTTAAACTACCCTTTTTTTTCTTTTTCTTAATTAAATTTATTGGGGTGGCATTAGTTAATAAGATTATATAGTTTTCAAGTGCACATCTCTGTGATACAACAATCTGTATATTGCATTGAGTACCCAACACCCGAAGCCAAGTCATCTTTCATCCCATGTATTTGGCCCTTTCCCCTTTACTACTCCCTCTTCTCTTCCCTCTGGCAACCACCATACTGTTGTCTGGGTCTGAGTTTCAGTTTTATATCCCGCATATGAGTGAAATCCTATGGTTCTCAGCTTTTTCTAACTGACTTATTTCTCTCAGCGTAATATTCTCAAGGTTCATTCATATTGTCGCAAATAGCAGTCAGTATGTAATTTTTTTCCCTATGGTTGAGTAATACAGTATTCCATTGTACAATATATATGTACCATATCTTCCTTATCCAATTCTCTATTGAAGGACATTTTGGTATTTCCATGTCTTGGCCACCATGAGTAATGCTGCAGTGAATATAGGAAGTATATATAACTTTGCTAATAAATGTTTTCAATTTTTCGGGTAGCTAACCAGAACAGGAATTGCTCGGTGTATGTTAACTCTATTCTTTTTCTTTTTTTCTTTTTTTAAATCATTATCAGAGGATATGTTTTTATTGATATTTAGAGAGGGGAAGGGAAAGAGAGAGAGAGAAACATTGATTGGTTGCCTCCTGCATGCACCCCAATGGGAATGAACTCACCAACTTTTATGTACAGGACGACGCTCCAACCAACTGAGCCACCCAGCCATAGTGTGGTAACTGTATTCTTAATTTTTTTAGGACCCACCAGAATGTTTTCCATAGTGTTTATACCAGTTTACATTCCCACCAGCAGTGAATGAGGGTTCTTTATTCTCCACAACATTTCCACTACTTGTTATTACCTGTCTTATTAACAGTAGCCATTCTAACAGGAGTGAGGTGGTATCTCGTTGTTTTAATTTACATTTCCCTAATAGATAGTAAAGTTGAGCATCTTTTCATATGTCTGTTGCCATTTGTATGTCTTGGGAGAGATGTCTGTTCAGGTCTTCTGCCCAATTTCTTAATTGGATTGTTTGTATAGTGTTGAATTCTTTTTGTATATTAGCTCCTTCTTGAAGCTGTGGATTGCAAATATCTCCCATTCGGTTGGTTGCCTCTTTGTTTTGTTGGCGATATCTTTTGCTCTAGAAAAGCTTTGTACTTTCCTTTTTATAGTGACATGGCTGGATTTTACACATAATTAACCATGTTGTTATTTATTAATTTAAGGTAAGAATTTTTTGTTATTCAAATTATTAGATTGTAAAACTCTCTCTCAGAAAGTCTTAAATGTGGAGTACTGAATTAAAGTAACTTAAACAGAGTTATCCAGAAACATATTTTGTACAGACAAAAAAAAAAGCCGGGAAAGATTTCTGTTGTGTGTGGATATAAAAGCTTAAGAAGAAAATGTGCAAATGTTCAGTAAACATGAAGAGAAATTTTGTAGCATCAGGAACAAAAAAGAAGAGGGAAGAGGATACATAAATAGAATACTTGCTTTAATTGAATATCGTAAGTAACAGTGTGTCTTAGTGCATTCATAGTGGTGGCTCTGTTATGTACCTTGCAGTGTTGACACTAAGGATTACTTAGTGAACAAAATATCAATTAGCCCTGCCCTCATGGAACTCACAGTATAGTGAGGGAGAAAGAAATGGAACGTGTATTAACCGTTAAATATGTGGGACATGAAGGAGAAAGTACAGTATGCTGTGAGGTCTTATGGCCAGAATATCTATCTAATCCAACCCGGGAGCAGAGGTAGGGGATCCTTCTTAGAAGAAATAATTTACTGAAGCCAGAAGAATGAATAAGAATAGCAAAGAGAGTGGTTTTCACTGTAGAGCTGTCAGCATGAATGAAGACGAAATAACTGGAGAACATGAAATATTTCACACAATGAAAACTGTTAGTATGTCTAGAAGATTAAATGAATAAGGGAAGATGATATAAAACTAAAGAATGAATGATAACTTTAGGATAAAAAGGAAAATAAAAATTATTTGAGATGAAGAGGGGGATATATTGGTTTACTGTTAAATATATTCTAAATAGTTGGTTTTTTTCTCAGTTGTGGGGTGTTCAGTTGTATGATTTTT